TTGTTGGACATGGCCGCCGTACGGGGTCCTGCCCGGGGCGGTGGTGCCTTAGCTGACACCCCCATGTGCTCGGGGTACAACGTGGACGTTGGCTCCAACCTGGTCCTCGGGCGCTCGTCGTCCCGCAAGGCGGTCTCGATTTCGGTCGCCCGGGCGTGGAATTCGTCCACGTTGGAGAACGTATTCCTCCGTAGCTGCATCCGGATGGCGGGTAGGAGATTTGCATACAGCAAATCTAACTGCCTCTGCTCTGGTAACGGCGGACGTAGCTGGGCCAACATGAATAGAAGGTGGCAGGCATATTCTCGTACCAGCTCTCCCTTCTCCTGGTACCGGGCTTGGGCCTCTTGTAGCAATCTTTGTTGCTGAAGTTCACTCGACCCAAACCAACGTCGAGCGCCTGCCACGAAGTCGGCGTAATTTCTCCACTTAAGCTTGTTGAGCTCGTACCAGGTCCTCGCAACGCCTTCGAGGAGCTCTGATACCGAGCACAAGATTTCGCCGTCTGTTAGCCCAGAACCCGCGCGTAGATCTTCTAGTCTCGACAAGAAGGTGTCTACGCACTCTGAAGCCGTGCCAGAGTATCGCAGCTTCCATCCTCTCACAATCCTACCCGCGTTCCGAGTCGCGTAGTACCCCGACGCCGCATTGGCGTCGTACCAGGCGGATCCTTCCGGGATCGTCTGCCCTTCATCAATGTCGGAGTCTCTTGGTCCTCTTCTCGGTGGCTGTTCCGTCCTTGAAGGCACCTGGCTTTGGGGAGCTTCTCGAGGTTCGCCAGGGGTCGGTCGCTGGGGTTCCGGGGTACTACCTGGTACCCTTGGGTCGTAGTGGCACGTATACGTGGACTGGAAGTCCACGGTCCTCCGGGGCCGCTCTGGTATGACCGTTCGTCGATTGGTGGGGTCCCTGTTTCTAAACTGCTGGAACTCCACCTGCAGAGCGGTCACCTGGTCGCTCCACCGCGCGCATACCTGGTCGTGTTTTTCCAGCATCTCCAATATGCGGTTTATCCCGACCCGGTTGCACTCGATCTCTTCCTTTAGTCGCTCGGTCACGCACCGCTCTTCCTCTTCCTCTGGAGGTTGTAGCTCCGCGTTCTCGAAGCGACGGGCTCTTCGCCTATCCGGCGATCCGGTGGAGCCCTTGTGCTCACCACTGACCCCCTCCGTGGGCCCCTTGACCTCGCCGGTCCCCCCTTCCTCTGCGGGCTCTCGCTCCCCCGTCTCGCTCTGGCTCTCCTCTTCGAAGTTGTCGTAGACCGCGAGAGTCCGCGTCAGGTTCGCCTCCACCACCTCATCCCTGTATAGCAGCATGAGTGGGTGGGCGACAAGATCCTCAGCATCAGCTGCTTCTAACTCTTGTCGCCTGGACTCCAGCCACCTCTCTCGGCTCCGTCGCCTGCGTTGTGTGGCCTCCCTATCCAACGCCGCTCCTTGGAAGTCTAGGTCGATGTACTCGCCTAGCAACCAATATGCTAATCGAACTGCCTGCATCAGCTTGAGACCATCTGTGCGCAACTCCAGTTGCGTCAGGTACCTGTCCAGCTGTGTCGAAGGCAGTTCCGAAGCCCACCGGGTTATCGCGTCGGCGGTATCCTCCATGACGCTTATGTTGGGGCGTAGGTGACGGTTGAGGTTAATTTTCCTATTCGACCACTACCGCCTCCTATCGCCCAAGGCGCGAGCGGGGTGTTACGATTTTTATCGCCAACTACCCAATTACGCCTTTATTTACAAGGCAGCAATACGCGTGGCTTGTGGGCGTGTGCAGGTATCGCGTACTCTAAGGAAGTACGAACTTCCGCTTCGCAACTACCTGCCTATAGGTGGAGGCTAACTGTTTGTTAGCTCCACCGGGTTAGTTAATCTAACCCTACACACGCCCCAATTGCGCGCTCTGCTGGTACTGTCGCTCGGTGACTAACCCCCACTTAATTACTTTAATGTGTAATAAAACACTTAAAAAAGTAAAAAGTTAACCCAAATACAATTAGTCACCTCTTATATTCGCGTTTGAGCGACTACGGACGTCTCTTCGACCCCTGGGGTTAGTGTGCTCTCGGCTCACAAAAGCAGTTGTTATTGGGTCGGAGAGGCGTCTTTCCCCTACCGCAGAGCACGTACCGAACGAGCCACGCGTTACTTTACCCGCTCGCACCTTATTACGCACGCGCGCAAACGTCTCTCTCTCGCGCGCGTTGCTCTCTCTTTTCGTGTAATTTCCCTCGTGTGTGAGTCCTAATTTAGTTGGGCGCCATGTAACAGGCTGCCGTTTAGTCTAAAATCACGCAAACGTACCTTTAAATGCGACTAAACGACGCCTTGTTATCTATGTGCTCAAAGCACAGTAACCTACCTTGCCCCGAAGTGCGCCTGCGCAGAGTCTTCTACTTCTCCGAGTTGGGTTCCCCCAACTCGCCACTTGGCGGCGCTGTCGCTCTTACTAGTAGCGCTCGTGCAGCCACCACTGGAACCTAAGTGATTGACTCGCGTCTATCGATAATCGCACGATTCGTGCTTCGCAACCGGCGAATTCGAATCCCCTGAAAATAAACACTGGCGCGACCTCCGGACAAAGGAAAGACACAATAACGTCTATCTAACTCGAAAATAATGACAAAGATGCACTTTATTTGACTAATTAATTTACACGGTGAATCGGCCGAGAGACTTACGCACGCACGCGTGAATGACAACACACGCTAATCGAGAGAGAGAGAAAAAACCGCGATTACCGCGAACTACCTGCTCGCACGCAATAAACAAACTCTTCGCGCTCGCTGCGCGGATTCGCACGCAAAATTAATACAATGATTAACAACGGGAATTAAGGTGCACCTACCGCGATATCGATGAGAATACGGTGGCCAACCGTATCCGAACAACAAGTCGTTACACGCCGCCTCGATGCTCGCTGTGCTGCCTCTTAACTGTTGCCGCTGTTGTTGTCGCTGCTACTGGTGCTGCTGCTATTTCTGTTGCTGCTGCTGCTGCTACTGCAGTTATCGCTGCTGCTACTGCTGCTGCTGCTGTTGCTAGCACTCACCCACGCAAATCGCAATGTCAATGGCAAACAAACTCACGAGAAAGCTCGGGAAGGATGGAGGTTAGATCGGCCGGCGAACAGACTGAGTGGCACCGTCATACTGCCGGTCGGAGCCTCCCCTCCCGGTCATTGCCCCTTACGCGCTCTCTCTCTCTCGCGAACCGAATGCGGCTCCCCTCGCTTAGCCGCTCGTTAACCTTGCGCGAGTCTACGATTTTCGGTAATCGTTGCAATATATATATACAATTTAGATGATAAATATACTTATAATATAAACTACATCAGTTTCTAGTTCATTAAAAGACAAAAAAAGAGCCAGATAGAAGTGATTCAGTTGAAAAAACGCCTTGAATATTTTCTGTTATAGATATAGTAAGTTTGGAAATTCCACCAAACAAAGAAGCCTCACTTCAAACTAATGCACCAGCCGAATCAAATGGCACATCTGATGCTGTCAATGAAGAAAAGAATTATGTTTCCACGCGACGAATGAAACGGAAACGGATTTGTATGACATTTCAATATATAATTTATCCTTGCAATTGTGATATATAATCTCATCCAAAGAAGCCATACAGTCATTATCGGTTTCGGAGATAACGCATCTCGAGCTCGTTCACGGAGATTGCAGATCCAATGAGGATTCTCTTTTCTCAGATTCGTAGCGCTAATTTGGCACCCTCCTCGGGACCTGTGCCGCATTGATACATTAAAAGGGTGTACAAACTTACAACTGATTTCTATTTAAATTATTTATCATCCGTTGGAAATTATGTATTATAAGATGAATGTTAAAAATCTATTTGAATTTGAAAAGCAACGGGACTGTATCTGGTTTCTTGATGGGTTCTCTGAATGGTTATACATTTTTCAGACAGAAATTCGTATTTATTTTTCTTAGGTTTCTGGTTTTTTTATCAGGTTCCGAACTACTTAACTATTGGGATCTTATAAAATGCTAAAGATTATAATAAATTTTCTGCTATCCACAATGTTCGTTATACTTTCCTCGCGATTCTCTCGTCGAGATTTTATATTTCTCTAATTCGTCTCATCTACTTCCATACGTTCAAATTTATCATCTGAACAATTGAGTATCTTTTTCTTACAGACATATAAAAATGAAATTGCTTTTCTGTACGAATTTGTATCTGCTTATAAATTCTTAGCGAGTATATTTATTACTTATGTTTATATTAGTAATTAATTCTGTTACCCGTCTATTGTTGCAGTTGAGTGTCCAGACAGTGATGACGATGACAATAATAACGATGGTAAGAAATATATAATTACGGCTTTTTGGTCAATAATTAACAGTGTTGTGCTCTGCTTGTAGAATATATGAATATTATGCTTATATTTTTGATGCGTTTGTTCGTCTGTAACTAGATAAAATGTTCGATTACTGTTTCCTAATGCATAGTGACATTGCTTGTCGACAAAAAGGCCCTAGTCAGTTAACTGTATTACTGTAGCGACGTTTTTTTTTTTACTTCCTAATTTCAACGCATATAATAACCAAAATACGCACAACGAGCAAATTACTTTTCGAGAAAATGATGTTATTTTATTTAGTTACTTATTCCATGTTTCCTTACAATAGCATATGATTAAGATTTTTTAATATTTATAACGCGTTAACTCTACTTTCAAAATATACGGTTTTTGCATTATGGTATACATATGACTAATCCTATCTCAAAAACAAGTAGTTTTGAAATGTTTTAATTATAATCAGTCAAGTATATTATTTAATTTTTTTCAATATAATGAAAAATAATTGGGAATCAATTTTGCATTTGCAGAGGAAGCAGATGCATCCTACGTACCATCAGGTATTCTTATTTAGTTTCAATGCATTGATATATTACTTTTATATAAAGCTGAATTTATTAATGCTTTTCTATTATTTTTGTGTTCTAGAAAATGAACATTCAGAGCGTCGTACCGAAATGATATCTTCTGATCAAGGTTGGCTGTATTTCTTTATCTTGAATCTGTTTACAAATAAACACTGCAAATGTACATTGATCAAATGTGATATCCAATCTTATTCTTTTTCAGAAAATGGAGATTTGAACTCCGTAAACGTTGTTCGAAAGAAAACGCCAGTAAAATCAAGTAAATGTTCAAGTATACAGAAAAGTTAGTCCAAATTTTTTTATTTCTCTTTTCTTTTTCAACATGTTGAACAATATCAATATGTATACTTACCATATTCATTTATTGATCAACTCAATTCAGTAGCTGTTGTTTTAAACATTTATTCTTATCTTTATTGTTATATGTTTCTATGACTTTTTATTTGTGTGTTAATAGTATACGAATATGGTTGTGGAAAAAAGTATATTTTAGGTATCCTTAAAAAGTGGTTTTACATCATTTTTATTAATTATGGAATACATTTTTAGTACAAATACGTAAATTATTTAATACAATTGATGATAATAACGCAAAATGTATTTACTTTACATACGTATAAATATGACATTTCTAATGTTATTCAACTAAGTATTTTTACATTGTTTCATTTTTCACTTTTATTTCAAACTACTAAATTGAGTTCAGGTCAATTTTTGATTGAATAGATTTTATTACACAGTTTTGATGAACTAATATATATTTTTCAGCAACAAAATTGAACTTGTCCAAAGTTATTTGCAGAAAAAGTTTTAGTTCTTAGAGTATAGAAAAAAACGGGATTATAAAAACCTCTAATAAGACTTATAGATACTCTATATGTAATAAATCATTCGTGAAATTACCACCGCACCTATTCAGCGTTCATGGTGATGATGAAGAAATCGAGAGAATTTCAAAAATGAATTCACGTTCGAGTGAACGACGTTGGGCTCTGAAAAGATTATTGAATCAAGGGAGAGCACAGCGTAATAAGAGTTCGGAAGATTTGGAGGTATGCAAAATCCCTACAGTAGGGAAGAAATTGAAAAATAACAAAAATGCACAAGTCAAAAAAGATATAGACTTCAGTTTATATAAGCAATGCCCAAACTGTAAGGGCTCGTATATTCGAAAACGCTTACCGGAGCATTTGAAAAAATGCGCTGGCATTAAAAAAATTATAGGAGAATTTAAATTGAGAGCTTTAGTGAATGGTAGCCAGCTCACCATTCACAGTCGAGCTTCTGATGATACAGCGAAACTATTATGTTCGTTAAATAAAGATTCAATATCGGATATTATCTTACGAGATAGGCTAATTATTCAATTCGTGAACGGGAGAGTCAAGAAATATCAATGCAGTGATCGACCGCCAGATGACCAACTTAGAGCTGAAGCTCGTATACTAGGACGTTTTACTGAAGAAATTTTTTTCATGAAAGATGAAATCAAAGAGTTGGCTGATGCATTTTGCTTATCATTTGCCGATAGGTTTGAATCTGCTGTTGACGCGTTGGCAGGATTGAATAATTTAGGTTACTACGATCATCCCACCAACGCTCGGACCTTAGTTTTGCACATTAAAAGTCTGATAAAATATAATATCGACTATTACAACGAAAAAGTCGAAGACTTAGAAAAAGATGCGGAAAAAGAAGCTGACGCTATTAAAGCGCTCGAAAGGAAAATTAAACGTTGCCAAAGATTTGAAAACAAGTTCGAAACCGACATTAGACCTTCGCTTGTTAAAAAAGCTTCACAATCTGAGTCAAGACTAGCTGCCCAAAAATGTACGAAAGACGCTACAGTTGAAGACATAACTTTTCTATATAAATATTGCCTTGGAAACCGGAAAGAGGCCTTGACTTCGTTGGAGCAATCTTACTCACAGAAAATGTGGTACCAGTTGTTCGAGAGTCAATTGTTGATAAGTATTATTTTTAACAGAAAAAGAATTGGCGATATAAAGCATTTTAGAATTTTTTCTTACAAAAACAGAACTGGTATAGAACAAACCATGCCAGATGTATACGAGAAACTTGATCCGAAATCAAAAAAGTTAGCTGAAGAATATAAATTTACAAAAACCGTTGGTAAAAAGTCTAGAGTTGTTCCGATGTTGCTGCATGCACTAGATGAACAAGCATACAATAAACTTCTCTCACTACGAGAAGAAGCTGGTGTAACGTCTGAAAATCCCTACGTTTTTGGATTACCATCAGCTGGAGGTGCAAACCGAATCAAACTCCCAGATCCATGCGCCATTATTAGGAACTATTCGATCCAATGTGGTGCCAAAAATCCAGAAAATCTACGGGGCACTAATTTACGAAAACATATAGCGACAATGTGTGCAATCTTAAATTTACCTGAACGACAATATGAGGAGCTTGCTAACTTTATGGGACATAGGCTTGATATACATAAACAATTCTATCGGCAATCACAAGTCGTGCACATTGTAACTCAAGTATCAAAGCTTCTCCAGATGGGCATTAGTACTAAAGAAGGTAATGAAATATTTCGTACATATTATATATTATACATTTTGATATCCTAATATTCTTAAATCATTAAACTATATCTATTAATATATCTATGAGAATTCTTTTGCTATTTCGTATGAATATGATAGAATTAATTTGTACTATAATCTAAACAATGAAATCTAATTGATATTGAAGGCGTGGAGTAATATACGTGTATTCCTATTGATGAACTCGGCCAATATGGATCCATGACGATTAAATCAACTAAATTCCTTGATTCTTCTTTGATAGGTTCGGCAATGGTTGATCCATTCGAATGACTAATGATTTTATAAGCGGCGTCTAGCGACAACTGTCACGGACCGATTGTTCTGATTTTTCAGCTAGACACGAGAGGCACGGAGTCATGTTCGTATATCCATGTTGATAAATCCTGTAGTGATTGATGCAATTGGATGAAATCTGGATCTGCGAACTCTTCTGGAAGTTACTACAAACGACTAAATGAGATGTTATCAAAGGTTTTCATCAAGCGAGCAATGAATAGTAGCGGATTAGACTAATTTACATATTTTCGGGATGTTAAACGGCTTATCGTGGATGCAATTGAATGGCAAATGATTATATGAGCGATATCTAGAGATAAATGTTACGGACACACTGTTCTTATTTACCAGGTAGATATCAGAAGCGCGGAGTCACGTTCGTTTATCGTAATTAATGAATTCTACCGAGATTGATGCAATTAAATAGAATCTGGATCTGCGAACTCTTCTGGAAGTTACTACAAACGACTAAATGAGATGTTATCAAAGGTTTTCATCAAGCGAACAATGAATAGTAGCGGATTTGACTATATTACATATTTTCGGGATGATAAAACGGCTTATCGTGGATGCAATTGAATGGCAAATGATTATATGAGCGATATCTAGAGATGAATGTTACGGACACACTGTTCTTATTTACCTGGTAGATATCAGAGGCGCGGAGTCACGTTCGTATATCGTAATTAATGAATTCTGCCGAGATTGATGCAATTAAATAGAATCTGGATCTACGAACTCTAATGGAAGGTGCTACAAACGATTGAATAAGAATTTATCAAAGGTCTTTATCGAGCGAACAATGAATAATAGCGGTATCGACTATATTACATATTTATGGGATGATAAAACGGGTTATCGTGGATCCAATCGAATGGCAAATGATTATATGAGCGATATCTATAATTAAATGTTACGGACACACTGTTCTCATATACCTGGTAGAAGTCAGAGGCGTGGAGTCACGTTCGTATATCCCGTTCATATGTTACGTTCGTATATCGTTGATATATCCTGCAAAGATCGATGAAATTGGACGGAGTCTTGATCTGCGTACTTTACTGGAAGGGGTTTCAATCTATTAAATCAGAAAGTATCATAGGTCATGAGTGAGTGAACCATGAATATTTGCGTAATCGATTAAGTACTTTATTTCCTGAAAGACAAGACGGGTAATGGTGGATGCAACCGAATAGCAAAACATTGAATAAGCGATATCTACAGATAAATTCTATATATATACAGGGTGTTCCAGACCACCCGTACACCCCCTCTAGAATCCAAAATAATAGATTAATCAAAAACTGCTTCAGACAAAAGTTGCTGGGCTTCGAGGGGGACATATCCGTACGACCTTGGCTTTGACCTTGGAGGTCATGTTCAAACTCAACACAATACCTTATCCAAACGTCGGATTTCGCGCTATGTGCGTATCCGGGGTTAAAAAGAGGGATTTCCATTACAAATAACACTTCGACCTTGAAATGACCTTCAAAATGAGGTTAAAGGTCAAAGGTTTTTGGTGCATTGGGTGGCCCACTCTGTTCTGAACAAATTTTGTAGAGGTCATTTTTCGATATCTTAAAAATTAAAAAAACGCTTTTAGGCAGTTTTTCAAGCATTTGACCTTAAATCGACCTTCTCAAGGCCATGAAAAAAAATTTTAAAATACCGTTTTGGACGTAAAATTTCCCGCTCTTTCCGAATCCGGGGTCAAAAATGGGGGTTCCTATTTAAAAAAACAAAGTTGACCTTGAAATGACCTTGAACATGACATCCAAGGTCAAAGCCAAGGTCGTACGGATATGTCCCCCTCGAAGCCCAGCAACTTTTGTCTGAAGCAGTTTTTGATTAATCTATTATTTTGGATTCTAGAGGGGGTGTACGGGTGGTCTGGAACACCCTGTATATATATCTATAAAACGATTTTAAAGGTCAACCTAGTACAAATTATAATCTAAACTTTAATATTCTTCATTCCGACGTTTCGCTGATATATTTTCCAGACTCATCAGGTACTGCATTAACTAAATATATTAATCATTGAAAACAAAAAGTACACTTTGTCAAAATTAATACGGTACATAAATATTTTTCTACTTACAAATTATGTCGCATCAAATACAAATAAATTGTCATAACGCATGAAATCACAAAACTCGTCGACTTTCACTATCCAATAAAAACATTTTTGAATTTAAAACGACAAAATTTTTCAAGTTTCTAATTTAATAATTGCCTTTCACTTATTATACCAAAATCGTCATCACATATAGACAATAATCTTCGATTGAAAGGAAAATGACTAAGTATTGTGGTTCCACAGGATTTTATTTTAGTATCTCTAGATGTAAAATTTCTATTTACATACATGCCCTATGAATTGGTGGTTAAGAGCTTATATAAATGATTTTCATTGATTCACACAGCATCAAAATATCCGTTTGTACACATAATCGAACTAGATACATTTTTGTTTGACAATACTTCATTTCAGTTCGATGGAAAATTTTATACACAAATATTGGGAACGCCTATGAGTTCACCGGTTTTGCCACTGTTTGCTAATATTGTCATGGACGATTTAGAAACTAATTTTCTATTTATATTAAAAGAAAAATTTATTTGCACTCCGTTGTCTTACTTCAGATATGCGGGTGATACTATACATTGCACAGAAAACATATTTTTAATGGATACTATAGATATTTTCAATGATTAATGTTCTTACTTGAAATTCACACATAAAATTCAAAATGATAATAAAACTAATTTTTTAGATTTGATATTAATTATAAAAATTAATAGATTACTTACAAATTCGCTTCTAAATGTAATGTCCTCAGGCGGATTATTAAATTTGACTTCCAATCGTACAATTCAACATAAACGTGTCATAGTATCAAATCTATATGACAGAGCTATCGTACTTTCACATGAAACTTTCCACAGTGATAATTTAAAAATTATTTGTAAAATTTTATTTGGCAATGATTACTCACCGAAATTCGTAGATGATGTTATTTTGCAAAGAATGCGTTATGACAAATATAACAATAATGACATAAGCACACTAATAATTTGACACTTCGAATTTGTACAATATCGTTATCGTTCATAGAAAAATTATTTTATTCATGTTCTCGTTACTTGCAAAAGTATAAATACGGATTTTGCCTTCGATTGATCATAATATGAATAATATTGTTAGATTGGGTAAAGACAAAAATACTAAGTGGAATGAGGCGGGGATTGTTTAACACTTTAAATGTAATAACTGTGAGAATAAATACATAGGTGAAAGTAAGAGATCATTAAAATTTCGGATAAACGAATATAAAAAATCTGTTGAAAAAACTAAAGAGTTTGATCTTTCAAGTAGCAATAATTTAATGTCTGTTCCAAAACATATACTGGAAAATTCGGATCATTCTTCTAATTTCAAGGATACTATTAATTTAAACCGAGAACCTAATTCCTATAAGAGACGTACATCAGGAGTGCTATATATGAAATCAAATATTAACACTATTGATAGACAAAAAGATACTGAATTATTAAGCAACCAATATAACAGATCATTATCACGTGTAAAAGATGATGAATTACAGTATATTTAAATTTTGGATAATTATAGTGAAAGGTTCTATTAGTATTACAGTTGTTTTTGGTTTATATACTTGCACTTGTAGAAGTTGGATAATTTTCAGTACAACGATCAGTTAAAAATTTCTTGCAATTGAGAATATAAAAATATTAATTCATTAAATTATTGGAATGGAAAATATTAAAGTTAAATTTATATTTTTTACTGGGTTGACCTTAAAAACCGTTATATATATATATATATATATATATATATGATTACTAAAGATGAAATGTGCAAATAATACATATATCTAGAGATAGATGTAACGGACGTACTGTTCTGACTTATTTGGTGGATATCAGAAACGCGGAGTCATGTTCGTGAATCCTAATTAATAAATTCTGCCGAGATTGATGCAATTAGATAGAATCTGGATCTACGAAATCTTTTAGAAGGTACTAGAAGCGAATAAGCGAGGGAAAATGATGGAACTCGGTCGAGCGAGCCAAAAGAAGTGGGTGATTCTACTAAATTCTATATTTCCTGAATGATATGATGGGTAATGGTGGATCCAATCGAATGGCAAATGATTATATGAGCGATATCTATAATTAAATGTTACGGACACACTGTTCTTACTTACCTGGTAGTCAGAGGCGTGGAGTCATGTTCGTATACCCTTGTGAATAAATCCAGCAATTATGTTTTCAATAACAATTCTTCAACCTTTTTCAAAGGCAATCTGAAGATAGAGGATCCACATTTTTAATCGGTCTGTCCATAAAGGGTTTCGAAATCGACTCATTTCTGTATTTGCTCGTTGTGAAATCCACAATGGTTGATTCAATCTTAATCTATAATGAAGTAGTGTAGCTGATTGAATTGTATTCTCTCAACTCAGCAAGAACGAGTTCTTTATATATTTTGCAGCACATTGAGCTTTGCGCATATTACTCCCACGCTGGCCTTACCTACTGTCACAGACTTCACTTCACGTCTTTTCAACTAACAAGATAACAAATATTATGTCTTTTCTTGCCAACCTATCAATTTTTTAATTTACTAGATATTTTCACTCTGTTTCATCTGTATCCTTTTCTTATTTATTTATTTGGTGTCGTGAGATAATTTTAATTAATTTTGTTGATCCTTTTTTAGAACTTGATAATGAAGACACCACTGGCAAGGTTGCTGAACTTGTTTCTAATAACGATGTTACTGATGAAACAAATATTATTGATATGGTAATTACAGAAGTACGTGATTCTAATGTAAGTAATGTACCAGATTCTGAGGTAACCACAACAGTTACACCTGATAGTTCCTCAGTGGCACATATCAGTTCGACATCGAAGTCGTCTGATACTGTTTCTAGAAAGTGTGGTAGGTATAGCTTTATTAACTGATTATCTTTTGTTGCTTTATATTTTTACGCTTTGTTTAACGCTTTCGCATATATGTCTTGCTTATGTTTCTTGCCTTTGATTTAACTAATAAAAAGTCGATTACATTGGAGTGAGATCAACCTCAATTTCAACAGGGTGCCACCAGGTCTCAGCAACATGCGCTTAGCAGTAAATAAACTTTTCAAAATTTCAATTCCTTCTTGATGCGGAACAAATTATTGAGTTCGAGAAATAAAAAAATTTTCATCAATCATAGACCAGACTTAGTATACCTAACGAAATTTGGTGCGCTGAATTCAAATTAGAGCTCTAAGATTCGAAATATCTTAAGACAAAAGTGAAAAAACGTTGTATTTTTCTATAAGTATGAGATTAAATGCATCGCGAATAATTTTTCAAAATAAACGATATCGGCTTGAAATGTAACTTTTACTTTTCAAAACCTACTTTTCAAATTCGTAATATTTGTTTTTCTTAAAAATATGATAGTTTAAATTTTTATATTTTAGCGCTTTTGTGACCAACTCAAAATAGAATCAAATTTCAAAACAAAAAAATTTTCTTATAGTTGCCGAGATTATACCCCATTTTCCTTGATTTCCGAACCCTATAATTTGCTATTTTATTAAAGTCATACACCCAAGTATCTTAAAAAATCTTTTAACGTTTTCAATCTGATTTGGTATTGGTAATTCATGACCTACGTTATTATTTAATGCGTTGATATTTATATTGTAACGGAGAGTTCCGGCCGTACCCGTCTGGGTTGCTCGCGACCGTCCACATAAATTATTTATTCGGGGATTCGGGAAGCAAAAGACGTTCCCACGACTGAATAACGCGTCGAGCATAAACACGTTAAACGCACAGATTCGAAGTCGGGATGAGGAGTAATACAGCGGCGAATAAACACAACAGCGGATTAATACGCTAGTCTTTTAATTGTCAACAAACGATTACAATACGGCGACCCCGGACTTACACACTACGAGCGGTACAATAACAAACGCGAATGCGAAGGTGAATCAGTGGCTGGTCAGCCTGCCGATTCCTTTATAAAAACTAAATATTACAACAAATGCCCGACAAACACTTCTCGCCGATAGACTATCAACGGGTAGCCAGTAGGTCTGCTGTGCTACCAACCATAAGCTGGCGCCCAAACATGCAAGAGAGAGAGAATCAAGAATATGTAATATAATAATCTATTATTGCACTATTTTCAGAATAAACAATAATTAAATATGTTTTTAGATTCTAGTAATCTACAGATCAGACAAAGATTCTTTATTTCTGTGCAAGATACTATACTGCCATACTTTATATAATGTAATGTAAACGCTTTATTGTCTTACTAACTTTCAGCTGTCAACTGTATCAAGTATTTTATTAAAATATGCTTTATAAACCGTTTTATTATTTAATTCCAGAAAATATTAGGTGTACAAATAAGTTTCCGCGGTTTGTCAAAAGATGGCTCCACCAGATGGTTATGGAGAAATTGTCAGATGTAAAACGTAATATCCCAAGTTTTGTCATCCGGCAACACCATAACCTGATTCTAGAGTCGGATTGGAGTTTTGCACGTGCTCAATTGCACAGGTTTCTATGATACTTCGTAATAGTCACAAGTCCATCATGATTATTTTTATTATTAATTATTAATGTCATACAGTGCCGCTCAGCCACTTTTACCCCCTCACGGGCAAAATCAGTCTAACTTCAAAGTTTTATATCTCTGGTAGAAATTAACGTACAGAGACGCGCGTGGGTGCGTTTGAAAGGTCTTTCGGAGAGCTTTCAAATGATATGACTCACGGTTGCCATCGATTGTTTTTTTAAATTTTGCAACAATTATGCAAAATTGAAAATTCTGAAATTTTTTTATTATTTTTGACAATTAGCCAATTTTGGAAAAAAAATCGTACGAAAATTTGAAGTACACCATTTTTTAGCTATTACCAAGCTCTATCTGAATCACTCATCAAAAATTTATTTTCGTCAAATATGACGCGCGCACGGGCATTTTTTCCTGGAAGTGACAATTTTTTTCAACATTTTTTATCTCCGTCAAATTGTAACAATCGAAAAAAATTTATAGGAAAAAAAATGTTTGTTTTTTCACGTAAAATACTGCAATAATTTTTTTTTTGGTTTTTCGAAAAATTTTTTTTTTCGGTTTAAATTATTTTTCAAGAGGCCTGCAATGGCTCGGTCGGTAGGGCGACGGACTCGCACCCGGTAGGCCCGGGTTCGATTCCCAGTTCCTGCTGATTGATACAAGCACCACTGAAAAAAGTTTCATGTGCTTTGTTCTCAAACACATTGCAAGCCTCCGTCGCTGATTAGCACTGATGAAGCATAAATAGAGCGACGTTAAAATAAAAAAAAAAAAAAAAAAAAAAAAAAATTATTTTTCAAGGTCGAAAAAAAAAAGATTTTTTTTTTTATTTAATTTACGATACTTGTTATGTAGTATTATTGAATGGGTGGAAAAAAATTTTTTTTTGTGGTTTCTCATCTTTTTAGCGTACCGACTGTGAGAAAAAAAAATTGAAAAAAAACCGAAAAAAAAAATTTTTCGAAAAACCAAAAAAAAAAATTATTGCAGTATTCTACGTGAAAAAACAAACATTTTTTCTCCTATAAATTTTTTTCGATTGTTACAATTTGACGGAGATAAAAAATGTTGAAAAAAATTGTCACTTCCAGGAAAAAATGCCCGTGCGCGCGTCATATTTGACGAAAATAAATTTTTGATGAGTGATTCAGATAGGGCTTGGTAATAGCTAAAAAATGGTGTACTTCAAATTTTCGTACGATTTTTTTTCCAAAATTGGCTAATTGTCAAAAATAATAAAAAAATTTCAGAATTTTCAATTTTGAATAATTGTTGCAAAATTTAAAAAAACAATCGATGGCAACCGTGAGTCATATCATTTGAAAGCTCTCCGAAAGACCTTTCAAAGGCACCCACGCGCGTCTCTGTACGTTAATTTCTACCAGAGATATAAAACTTTGAAGTTAGACTGATTTTGCCCGTGGGGGGGTAAAAGTGGCTGAGCGGCACTGTATATAAAACTGTTAATAATGTAATTACATACATATTGAATTAAGAAACATTTATAATCGTGAAATCTTTTTTAGTTTTATTTTTATTTTTGGTAAAAATCTACTGTCAACAACCCGTAAATTTCTGTATAAATATAAATTTTATTCATTTTCATATTTAGTAATTTTCAAATTTTCAAATTCCAATAACACAATTTTACATTTATAACAAAAACAATGAAATTTCTGTTTATAAAATGAACAGGAGTACCATTTAAGATTCATAGAAAGATAGAGAATAATTAATCAGTATTTTAACACAGTGCATCAACAAGAAATTGACATTTGTATCAATAATTGCATATTTTTAATTTAAAAAAATGTACTGAATTTTTTAAATGGTGATGTTTCGTTATTTCACATTGTATGAAAAAAGCAACAGTTAAAAATCATTAATTAATATATAAAATTAGCTGGAGAGCAATAATTCTCCCCTAGATTAATCACGAAAAATATTTTTAATAAATAAAGAAAACTTATTTTCCATCAAAATGGATTTGCGATTAAAAGACTGTTTTATGTGCATAAACCAATATAGAGTTTACAAAAAATTACAAATTACAAAATACTAAATAAAATAATAATAGAAACTTACCGTGATTCATGAAATTGCACTCAGAACTTTATTTCGTCATGATCAATCATAAAAACACCGTTGCTGAAGTTCTAACATTCCTATTTTTGTAACAATTTAATGTTAAGAAATGGTATAATAATATGGTAGGACTTTCGATTAATACCTTTTCAGTATTTCGATGTTCGAGTTTGAAGCGGCTCCCCATAGTTAGATGCCATAAGTCCAGACTGGCTTGAGTACTGCTTTGTACAACAAGAGTTTATTTTCGATTGTTAGCTCGAATTTTGCTCCAATAAGCCAGTACATTTTTCTCCATTTTAATCTTAGTTGTTTTCTTTTTGTGAATATATGTTGTTTCCATTTCAACCTTCTATTCAAGTGAATGCCTAAGTATTTGACATGGTCTTTTTGCAGTATGTATTTGTCATTTAGTGTAATAGATGGACATGTATTTTTACGGAGGATTAATGTGGTGTGAACTGATTTACTTTCGTTAACTATTATTCTCCACGAGTTAAGCCAATTTTGGAGGTGATTAATTATGTAATTTTGAAATGTTTTGGATGCTGTTGTTGCCTCTGGTTGTACTGATAGATTTGCTGTGTCATCTGCATATGTTGCTGTCACAATGTTATTTGATATTGGTAGGTCTGAGGTGTACAACAAATATAGCGTAGGGCCAAGAATATTGCCTTGTGGTATTCCTGCTTTTAGTAGATGGCTTTTTGATTTACATTTATTTATTTTGACTTGAAAAGTTCTATTTTGTAGGTCTGACTGAAGTAGCTCGTAGTGGCGCACAGGGAGAAATCTCTTGAGCTTGCATAACAAATAACATAACATCTTTACTTACATATATATATATATATATAATGCGGTACATTACAAGGCCTTTCCTGAGCGCTGCATTATTTGCAACACCTCAGGAAAGTCATTCCCGTCCCTTGCCGCCCCGTAACCAGTTGCGTAAAATAAAAACAAACGCGCCCTATAAAAAACGATTACCTTTTTTTATGTTCGACAAATACACCGGAGATAATGGCGAAACAAACTTTATGAACGTGATCCGACGGACACTCAAAAGAAAAGAAAAAAAGGAGCGCACCACGAAATAAGAGAGCGCACACACACACTCACTCCCGACCACGTGTTGCCGACCGGCAAAAGAAAAACGGGAAACTTCACTGGGAAATGCAACGGAAATGCATGTTGATGACACCTGCAGATCCGTTACACTCCCAGGCACCAACACCAACATTCACAGGACACTGACACTCCTGGGGCAAGTAGAAAATCGCCGATGAAGTGGCAGCCGACAATCAGCTGGGTCGGGCTGCCGAACACCATCGGCGACATCCTGAGTGCCACTCATAACTACAACGATAACCACACACACAAACACCCGGGAGAACGTCACTTAACCGACACAGGAGCGCCTCAGGAGGCGCTCCAACAACCGATACGAGAACACGAAGCGTACACGCGAGAGACCGAGTGGCCATTTTGAAACGCCGAGACAGACTGAGAGCGAGCGAGCGAAATAGACTAAACAAGAGCGAGCGAGACAGATGATATGAAATGATGAATAGAATAATATGTAAATGCGAGGATGGGGGCGCTACAATTGAAAAGACGTATATTATATATGCATTCACAACGAATTAAAATTAAAATTATAATGAACATGGAATAAATATCGAATTATAAAATTCGCATGCAACCGACGCACCCCCTATTATAATAGCGAGCGACAACTACCCCATTAAATTGAATTAATAAATTAACCGATAGAATTCGAACCTCTGACGAAATTCGCTAGTGACGTCACGACCAATAAGCGAATTAGAATAAAATTTGATTTCTGTCCGGATAAAAAAAAAGATAAGAGTAGGGGTAGATCTTTTCCGTCAATTAATGATAGCTACCTTAGTGGGGAGTGAGAGAGGGTAAATGACGAAAGTAGAAGAGTTAAGGAGGGCGCTGGTTCCTTCTAATTTACATACGGACCAATGATAAAATATTTGGAGGGCGCTACCGATATCCGAACTAGCATACCGACCAATAATAACATTTCTTCTCGGAAAAAGGAGAAGAAAAGCGATCTTTGACCGCGAAAAGCCGATTCTCGTCCATTTTACCACTGGTCTTCTAGCGAGAAGGAGAAATCACGCCAGATAATCTTGTCGCAGGACCAATTGCGTTAGACGCCTTCTGTTCTCGCTAATTTCTTCGCCGAAACAGCAAGGAAAATCGTAAGTAGGCAAAGTGCCACTCACTTATATTAATCGCGGAGTACGGGAGTGAAATTTTCACTGTCGTAGGTCGTCGCGACGCGTGGATCCGTCGATGCCGGTGCCTATCGAATCGCGCTGACCTTTCCGCCATTTCGTAGATTGAACGTTAGTGTTAGGATTAAACGGATTACGAGCAGTGGTTAATTTAGTCGCGCTGGCCTTTCGCCGTATACTAACTGATTGCGCATGCAGAAGTAGATGAATAAAATTATTGATTAGTTTAATTGTGCTGACCTTTCCGCCATTTCGTAAATCGAACGCGAGTGTTAGGATCAGACAAAGAAAACTCGAGATTTAGGATATTCGTGCTGACCTTTCGCTAACAATATTTATTGCGAACGTAGAATTAGCCGAATAAAATTATCGTGCTTACTGAATTGTGCTGACCTTTCCGCCATTTTATAAAATCAAACGTGAGCGTTAGGATCAGACAAAGAAGGCTCGTGAATTAATTTATTCGTGCTGATCTTTCACCGATAAAATGATCCACTGCGAATATTGAAGGTGTACGAATACGAACTCGTGATTCAAT